GCTTGGTCACACTATTATATTAAGTGACTTTAACTAATGTGTACTTACACATGAATTAATAGTTTGTTACAATGTACTTATTGTGTAAATACATGTATTTACTGTGTACTTATGCTTGATTAAATACATGTATGTAATTACATCTGTAATTAACTTCTGTAATTACATTTGTAAATACACTGTTGACCATTCCCTACACCTTAACCCACCCTTAAACCTACCCACACCACCAAACCTGTCCATAACCCAACCCCTATCCCAACTCAAAAGTGTTCTCAAATACATTATAAACACCGTGAGTACATTGTGTTTTTTTTATGTTAGTACATAGTAGTTAAGGACACTTGATATTAAGTGGGACCAAAGGCTTCACTAGGGTTATTAGGTTAATTAGGCAAGCAGGGCCCATCCTGTACATTTGGGGGCCCTAAGCAGAATAGCTTTGGGCTTCTACCTTGCTCTAAATAGTGGAGTATTGCCATTGCAAACTGGCCCACAATGATTATATTGCTTATAAAATATAATCATTGAAACAGAAAAGTAAATCCTAGTTAGTTAGTTTATTTATACAGCACATTTTTACAACACAACGTTGCCCAAAGTGCTGAACACAATCAATACTAAACAAAGCAAAACCTACATCACATACATAACAATTAAAACATAAGGCAAACCCCTGAACATTAAAACGGCTCAAATGCTAGAGGACAAAGATGGTTTCAAACGCTTTTTAAGACCAGATAGAGTTGGAGCGTGTCTGATGTGGGGTAGAAGCCCGTTCCAGAGTTTTAGGGCGATAACAGCAAAAGCGCGATCCCCACTTCGCTTACACCGGGACCACCGGGATCAGAATAAACTGATCAGAAGACCTCAGTGCCCTACCAGGGTTATACACATGTAGCAGGTCTGATAAGTACGGTGGTGCCAGATCATTTAAGGATTTAAAAGCAAAAATTAATCGTTTAAAATCAATCCGTGACCTAACAGGCAGCCAGCCCAGAGAGGAGAGAACTGGAGATATGTGCTCATACTTGTCAGTCCCTGTCAGAAGTCTCGCAGCTGCATTTTGTACTAATCGCAATCTATTCAGGACATTTTGACTAATACACACATATAGAGAATTGCAGTAGTCAAGTCTTCCCAAAATAAAAGCATGGATCACCTACTTAAGATCATTAAAAGAGAGAAATGACTTCACTTTTGCTACGAGTCGTAGATGGTAAAAACTGAATTTAACAACTGAATTTACTTGTTTGTTAAATTTCAGGTCACTGTCGAAATCAAACCCAAGGTTTCTAACAACAGGTTTTTGATAAGTGGAAAGCTCACCAAAACCTAATAAATGCAGAGGGTTAGGATCACCAAACCAGAACAGCTCATGTTTTTCTTTATTGAAATTTTTAAAATTTGAAGAAAGCCCGGTCTTAACCTCGGCTAGACATCTCATAAGGGAGTCAAGGCCATTTTTATCACTACTTTTAAAAAGGACATAAATCTGAGTGTCGTCAGCATAAAAATGAAAAGCCACCCCATATTTACGAAAAATAGATCCTAAAGGTAAATATATATATATATATATATATATATATATATATATATATATATATATATATATATATATATATATATATATATATATATATATATATATATATATATATATATATATATATATATATATATATATATATATATATATATATATATATATATATATATATATATATATATATATATATATATATATATATATATATATATATATATATATATATATATATATATATATATATATATATATATATATATATATATATATATATATATATATATATATATATATATATATATATATATATATATATATATATATATATATATATATATATATATATATATATATATATATATATATATATATATATATATATATATATACACCCATAATTTTACCCATATTTTCATTCATATTTGTACAGTGCACAAATATTGAAGATAAATATTTACAGTACATCACCCTACTGTAATTTGATGATTTTAAAGGGTGTAGTGCATTCACAAAGGCCAGACTGACTTACTACAGGTGAAATTTTACCCATATTTTTATTCATATTTCTGTACTGTACAACAATAAATGAAAATACGGGTAAAATTTCACCTGTAGTAAGTGTAATTTTCAATAACTATGGCCAGTAATTCAAAATCCCATGGAGCCTCATGGAGCCTCAAAAATAATATGACACAAGTCACGTGACACAACCCACCGAACAGTAATGTTGGAATCATTGATGCGACATCCTCATCCACACTGAGTAACGCTTTGAGTCGAAAAGAGAAGGAGAGACGGAAGAGAAAGCAGGCGGCAGCAACATTGTTGCAAAATATTGAACATATGTTCAAAAAGACTGGGTCAGGCTAATGTTACTTCCTAACAGATGAGAATCTGCCGCTATCATGAGGTTCTAGACTAACTGGCCGATTTAGCCGGGACATCCTTTATATTGGGCATTATTGATTTGTCCCGTGACCTCCAATTCCCTGTTTTTGCCATTACATTTTTTGAAAATAACTGTCCTATGAAGGATTTACTACCAAACAGAGTCCTCAGCTGTCAGCTGTCACTTCACAGCAAAAGCTGCTAATCCTTTCATGTCTGTGGCTGCGTCCGAAACTGCCTGCTACTCATTAGGTACTGCATTTGAATATAAACGTACTACTCAGCCATTAGAAAAGTATGTTGTATACAGTATGAATGTGAGCAGTATGAATGAAATTTAGACGTACTACTTCCGCCTTTTTGTCATGATCATGTGACCAATCCTAGTGAGTTGCATCATGAGGCTATTCATAATGCAATTCTGAATTCTCTTGTGGGGCATCATGGAATACTTCTCACATACAGATTTTTGAATTCTATGAATTTGGACATACTCATTTTAGCATACTATATGGTATGGAAGTCTGCGATTTCGGACACAGCCCTGTCAGGAGCGGGGTTTGAACCCGGGTCTGCTGTGTCAGAGTCTGAATGTTTTACCACTCAGCCACAGGTGGATAATGAATCCAGAAGCGAGATAGTACTTGCACTGTGAGAGATTTATTTGTTAAAACACAAAAATCCAGATTTGAAACAACAAAAAAAAATTGCAGAGATAAAAAAGGACTGAGTTAACGGAGAAACAAAAAGGCCAACAGGCAAAATATCTCTGGAAAAATACTAGAGCAGATGCATCCAAAAAAAAACAAGGAAAAAAGGTTAAGTAGCATAGAACTCAGAAATGAACAGATCTTGAGAAAGCAGGGCAAAACTCACGGTAGCAACGAAGGCCTAGCATCAACAATAACTGAGCAAAGAAACAAGGGAAACTAGTGAACCTAAATACACATGACATAACAGGACACATGTGAAAACAATCACTTAATTACTGAACTCAAACAACACAAGGGGAGAAATAGTGGAGAAACAAAATCATAACATGTAAAAACTAAAGTCATAAAATGACAGGTCCTGACACAGCCCGTGTTTTTGTGGCTGTTTACACCTGGTCATTTCATGTTTTATTCTCTTCGGAAATAATTCCGATCGCTCAGACAACTTCGGAAGGTGGTCATTCCAGATGAAAATGGACGGGTCTAATTATTTGTTTTTAGACAAAATTAGGTTAAATAAAATGACCTGCACCTGTTTAGAAAACACCTGTAGGTGCGCTTTTACAGCCAAACATATGTAAAGACCAAAAATACACAAATAAATAAATACATATTTACTATAATTTCCCAGAGATGGGTTGCGACTGGAAGGGTATCTGCTGCGTAAAAACATGCTGGATAAGTTGGCGGTTCATTCTGCTGTGGCGACCCCGGATTAATAAAGGGACTAAGCCGACAAGAAAATGAATGAATGAATGAATATTTACTATAAGCATAAAACATCTGTTAACAAACAAAAAGCCTAAGAATTTCACATCCCATATTAGATGAAAATGCGGTAACATTTTACAATAAGGTTCATTAGTTAATGCATTTACTAACATGAACTAATCATGAACAACACATGTACAGCATTAATTATAATTGAACATTTACTAATGCATTATTAACATCCAAGTCCGAGCTTGTTAACATTAGTTAATGCACCGTGAGTTAACATGAACTATGAACAACTGTATTTTCATTAACTAACGTTAACTAAGATAAATAAATACTGCAGTAAATGTATTGTTCATTGTTTGTTCATGGTAGGAAATGCATTAAATAACATTAACTAATAAATCTGTATAAATAAATACTAATAAATTGTAAATTGTGACCGAAAATGTTTGAATTATAATGTCTTTTTTTATATGAATCACCTATTAAATATTCAAGCATGTGGTGCTGTGATGAACAACCACAATAATACAATCTGAACATATTTAAAAAGCACTCTAAAAGTTAAAATCAATGTTATCAATGTTTTGCATATCAACTGTCACGACATATTGCATTATTGAATATCAATAAATGTCTACTTCTATGGCACATCCCTATAAAAATGAAAAAAGTAACATGTAGTTTGTGTTTAAACTGAGACAATTTGCACAAGCAACTTGTAAAAAAAAAACAAAACTATTATTATTTTTGTTACTGCAAAAAGTATGCACATGATTGCAGAAGACAAGCTAATCCAGAACTAAATATTTCATAAAATGTCACCAAAATACTCTATGTAAACTTCTTATTCAAATGCAAAATGTGGGGCAAAAGTCCACCTTTAGAGAAAAATGTAATGTGTATTTATATAGCGCATTTATTGTGCTTCACAATTATGAGGGGGGTCTCTCCACACCACTACCAATGTGCAGCATCCACTTGGATGATGCGACGGCAGCCACAGGACAACGGCACCAGTGCGCTCACCACACACCAGCTATTGGTGGAGTGAAGACACAGTGATAGAGCCAATTCGGTGAATGGTGATGATTGGGAGGCCGTAAAGATCGATTGAGGAAATTTGGCCAGAACACCGGACATACACCCCTACTCTTTACCAGAAGTACCATGGGATTTTTAATGACCACAGAAAGTCGGGACCTCAGTTTAACGTCTCATCGGAAAGACAACGTCCACTGACAGTATAGTGTCCCCTTCATTTTTACTGGGGCATTAGGACTCACACGCCCCCTGCTGGCCTCTCTAATACCACTTCCAACAGCAACCTACTTTTCCCATGTGGTCTAACATCCGGGTACTGACCAGTCTCAGCCCTGCTTAGCTTCAGTGAGTAACCAGTCTTGGGCTGCAGGGTGATATGGCTCTGGCAAAAAGAACCCCCTTTTACTAGCCTGTCTATGAGTCTGGAAGTGCACACATATACATTTACTTATAAAATAATCATTGTTTTGAGCATATCCAATGATATTTGTTGAACTAATTCTACTGAAATGCCGATCTTTACATTGAACATATGCTTTTTCTGGTATTAATTTGATGTGAGTCCCTCTGGGTGATTTTCTGCTAGCAGGTGGAGCTTTTATTGCACAACCTTTATGTCATTATTAAGCAGGCTTATCCTGCCTGCCGGGGGGTTGATTTCAGGTGGACAGATGTCTTTTTTACTATTCAAATTGGCTTTCTTTATCCTGCCCCAATGTAGGTTTTGACCTTGTCAAATGTGAGGAGCCTGGGACCCCTAATTACGGCTACAAAATCCAAGACGACGGCCATTTTGCTGAAACGTACGTCTTGTACAGCTGCAATCCTGGATACACGCTGCATGGTAGTGGCACGCTGACATGCCTCAGTGGAGACCGCAGGGTTTGGAATAAACCACTACCTTCCTGTATAGGTGAGCTCTCGACTTTACCCTTTACGCAGATTAGTTTGCTTTAATGACGCATTGCAGCTAACGGTCCCACTTTATATTAAGTGTCCTTAACTACTATGTACTTACATCAAAAAATAAATACAATGTACTTACTGTGTTTATAATGCATTTGAGAACACTTGTGGTGCTTTTGAGTTGGGATAGAAGTTGGGTTATGGACAGGTTTGGTGGTATGGGTAGGTTTAAGAGTGGTTAAAGGTGTAAGGGATGGTGAACAGTTTATTTACAAATGTAATTACAAAAGTTAATTATAGATGTAATTACATACATGTATTTAATCAAGCATAAGTACACAGTAAATACATGTATTTACACAATAAGTACATTGTAACAAACTATTTATTCCTGTGTAAGTACATATTAGTTAAGGCCATTTAATATAAAGTGGGACCCAGCTAACTACTGTAGCTTTTGATTGAGTAAATTAATTAAAGGTGCTGTATCTAAGGATAAAAACATAGAAATACCACAATATGTTCGCAGATATTTAGGAAGCATGCTAAGTGAATATGTTTGTCTGCAAAACAATATTAAAATCAGTTATTCTATTTTGAAAATGTGCATTTCATGTCTTTGTTTTGGTCTCTGTGACCTGCCCACTGCCAATTTACCCAATTATATTTCAGCACTTCAGGTTGCTTTAGTGAAAAGCACAGTGTATTTCATTTCCGGGAGTGTATGTTTGGTTTAAACAGTGTCTGTTGACAAGTGAAATATAAAAAAACACATAAAACAGTTGAAATGATTGCACACTTTAACTGATAACAAATTCAACTTCTCTTAAAACAACTTTTTGATTTTTATGTGGTGGTGTAATATTAATTTATGCTAGTTTCAAGAAGGAGATGGATGGGATAGGATAGTGTTTTGCCAACTCTCTACCCATCTATCCAAAGTGAATCCTCATTAACAAGTTTACAATGATAATAAAGTGTGTTAACAATTTTTTTTTATGATTAATGAAGGAATTATAATGCTTTATTTTATTATTTCATCGTTATTTATAAGTACAGTAGCATATTTACCGCTGCTGTAAAGGGTATTTCTGTCCGTTCGCATCCCGTTCCTTTTGTGCCCCCTGGCGGCATATTCACAAACTGCGGTCATACATTAAAAACACGTGCTTGCCCATTTAAAGTGGTGGCGGTATATGCCATGGCGGTAATGGCCACATTGAACTCTTACCTACTTTAAGTGGAGTGTCAGCTAATGTGATATCGGTGTACAAATATTGGTATTTATCATAGCTGAATCTGATGCTGTATTGCTTTTCCTCTTTATTAAGCTATAAGAAAAAAAGAATGAATGAATAGATAGATAGACGAATGGATGGATGGATGGATGGATGGATGGATGGATGGATGGATGGATGGATGGATGAAAAGAAAGAAACAGGACTACATAAACAAGCCATTTTTGTTCTTATTTTAGTTTTTTGTTATTGCTTTATCACAGGCTGTGGTAAATTTATTGACAATCAAAGTAGAGACAACCAGTAATCCTGATTGACACAAAGAGGTTGAATTGTATTAGCTACATTTTAAGCAATTGTCTATTTAAAATTACATTAGATGTTTTGTGCAATTATAACATAGGAGTATCACTTTAGATTGATGGTCCTTTTAACAGATTTTGTTGAATTTTAGTTAAACTGCTTCTACACATCAACTAATTCTCAATAGATTATAAGTAGACTGTTAGGTTTGGGGTTAGTGTAAGTTGATGTACTTGCAAAGTTTCTCATAGTCATTTAATTGTCTGTTGAAGGTGTTGTATCAGCAGATATTATGCAGACAGTCTACTAATACTCAAATGAGAAGTAATGTAGTTGCAATGCAACTTGTATTCAACAATATATGCAATGAAATGTTACCAACATATGAATTAAAAACAGCTGACAGGTTCAATAAAAATGCTAACATATTCTATGCCAGTATGTGGTGCATATAGACCAATAATTACTCCATCATTGTAAGTGAACTACTCTGCAGGTGCAGATTTACATTTCAAAAACAACTACATAATCTACACTTAAAAAGAAATCATCTTAAGAGGGAGCACATTGAATTATGCATCATATGACAAATGTAAAATCATATAACTGACCTAACCTAAGCCATGAACCCAACTATTATGTAGATATCATAGGAGGATTAACTGAAATTAATCATTTGTGTAGTTGTAAAGACTAATTTTTAAAATGATTCGAAGCCTTAACACATTTGTTTCAAGTGTTCAGTGTTTCACCTCACTCTGCCCACTTCTTAATAAAACTAGAAACATTAGTGAAGTCCATAATACAAAACAAGGAGTGTGGTGTTTAATTAGTGTTCTTAATGCGCTGCAGCTGTTTCAGTGTAATCAGATCAGTGCAGATTTGTAAAGTATTTCAGCTGTGAGACGCAAAGCATGATGGGAGGTGTAGTCTGAGTGGATGGATGGATGGATAGATAGACAGACAGACAGACAGACAGACAGACAGACAGACAGACAGTCAGACAGACAGACAGACAGACAGACAGACAGACAGACAGACAGACAGTCAGGCAGGCAGGCAGGCAGGCAGGCAGGCAGGCAGGCAGACAGACAGACAGACAGACAGACAGACAGACAGACAGACAGACAGACAGACAGACAGACAGACAGACAGACAGACAGACAGACAGATAGATAGATAGATAGATAGATAGATAGATAGATAGATAGATAGATAGATAGATAGATAGATAGATATATTAGATTTATTGATTCATAAGCATTCTTATAAGCAAATTCACTAGAGGGCATTCCAGCTATATGTCTATATGTTGATGTTTTGTTTTTGCTTTAACACAGGCTGTGGTAAATTGATTAGCAATACATTTAGAGGCCATCACTGCACTTTAATTGTGATTATTACAAAAAAAAATTGTATTAGCTACATTTTAAGCAATAGTTTATTTACAATTACATTGTACATTTCAAAATATGAATTAAAAACAATGGTTTGAGGCTGAGAGAAAATATGCTACATAAAACACACCTGCCGAAAACAGTCCATCATTATGAGTATCTGCCGATTTACATGTTAAATACAGCTACAAAATATACACTTAAAAAGAAATCATCTTAAGAGGAAGCATATTGAATTATGCATTATATGACAAATGTAGCAAACAAACAAATAATAAAGAAAGAAAGAAAGAAAGAAAGAAAGAAAGAAAGAAAGAAAGAAAGAAAGAAAGAAAGAAAGAAGCAAACAAACAAATAAACAAACAAATAAAAGGCTTCTAATGCTGTAAAAAATGTGGGCTTTCACAAAATCGATTTGTATTGAGACATAAAGGCATTAAGTTAGCTTATTTGTGTTTACAAATGTAAGTTGATTGAACATAAAACCATTAAGTTGTCCTTAAAAACTCAATAATTGTGTTGTTTCAGCTCATTTTAAATAAGTAGTTTGAACAAAAACCCAGAGGAAACCCACATGAACATGGAGAGAACATGGAAACTCCACACAGAAATGCCAACTGGTACAGCCAGGCCTTAAACCAGTGACCTTCTTGCTGTGAGGCTACAGTGCTAACCACTGAGCCACCATGCCACCCTACCATAGTACAATAACACAATTTGTTAGGTAAGAAAAGAGCATGCTAAAAGATACGAATAGTTAGAGTACTACAATAGTTAGTTAGCAAATCTGTCCTTCATAATACCATATGGAGCAATTTCTACATCAGGCTGACATATTGAATATGAACCAAATTCAAAAGTGCCTTCATCCTGTAATTCTTATGAGCAGAGCATCCTTAAGAGACTGAACTTCAGTAATTACATGTAAAACCCAGGAGAAAACATATTTCTCCGGGGAATGGTGAAAACCTCTCTCATTGTGGTTAACATGATGTAAATGTCCCATGATTGCTCCATTAGCCCAGAGTGGTATACTTACACCGGGAGTATTTTAGGACAGAACAGTCTTCGCTGTGCCATATTCATTCTCTAATTAAAACTTCTCGAGTGAGATGTTCTGTTGTGTGGGAGAAAAGTGTGAAAAATGAAGCATGCTGCGTCAAACTGATGTTCCATGCATGTATTTGAATTAATAAAAGGCATTTTCCTTTTTGGCTAGCAGTGTTAATTTTGTCAACGAAAATCACAAACAGAAATTTGACAGGTCTGGTGGGCCAGTAACGGGACTGAATGTGCGCTCTCTAATCTGCTCATCTAATAAATGAGCAACGCAGTGCGGTGGATTATATATAAAAAAATAATAATGTTGGTTAATTTGTATTAGTTTGTGTAAGAATTCGGCGAGGCAGTGGCGCAGTAGGTAGTGCTGTCGCCTCACAGCAAGAAGGTCGCTGGTTCGAACCTCGGCTCAGTTGGCATTTCTGTGTGGAGTTTGCATGTTCTCCCTGCCTTCGCATGGGTTTCCTTCGGGTGCTCCGGCTTTCCCCACAGTCCAAAGACATGTGGTACAGGTGAATTGGGTAAACTAAATTGTCGGTAGTGTATGTGTGTGTGTGTGTGTGAATGAGTGTGTAGATGTTTCCCAGAGATGGGTTGCGGCTGGAAGGGTATCCGCTGCGTAAAAAAACTTGCTGGATAAGTTGGCTGTTCATTCCACTGTGGGACCCCGGATTAATAAAGGGACTAATCCGACAAGAATGAATGAATGAAAAATGTGTAAGAATTAATTAAGCTGCATTCCTCCTCCTTACCAGAAGGAGGTGCTTCTCTCTCCTCACACAACAGGATCCAATTTCAATGCTACCTCCGGAACAGTGGATGGCACCACTTTCTCGCCATCTGCTGTGTGCCACTACTCAAGCTTGATTTGCAACACCTGTTTTTTGCCCTATATAAGTGTGAGTGTTACAAGCTACTGTGTTCAATCTTGAGCCATTACTGCCCGGTGTTCTCCAGATTGTCTAGAGAAGCTAAGTGACACTTTAAGGTTGTGCTTTTTGACCCTTGTGTCTAATTTGTTTTGCTTGTTTACTAGAAGCTCGGCTTCAGTCATTTCTGTTGTACTTTGCATTCTATTTTTCCAGTAAAGATCATTTGTTTATTTTTTCTGAAATCAAAGCCTCATGTTCCCTTATTAATCTTCTGCTCTTGGGTTCATCTGTTGAGGAGTTTGCTCAACTGGGAAAAGCCCCAGCTTTGAGTCTAAGAGACCCGAGTTCAATCCTCACCCAAACCAACACCTTACAGTTTGACTACATTTTAGGCTTATCTTTTTTTCATCATCAATAATTTGCTGCTTGTAAATTTGATGACTGAAATTGGGGTGCATTTCTAAAAAACATATTTAGCCAACTGAAGCTTGATCACACTAGAGTTTGTGTGTGAAATTCTGTCGTGCGGCGCTGCGAAAAGGGGAGGGATTAAACAAGCTTATTAGGCATTTAAAAAAAGCGAGCGATTGCTCCATGTTTTAAACTTCTGTCCAGAGATGTCATGTTTTGATCCTCGTTGGGTCTTAAGCAGTCAAGTGATGCGATTTCACAGGTCAGAGTTCACCAAGCTTGAATTTTGCACCGCAACAACCTGCGAAACTTAACACATGACCCCGCGTTTCCAGTCTGACGCATTCACGTGCGTATGAATGGAAGTCTATGGGAGTAAAAGCCCAGTGTGACCGCAGCTTAAGTTGCAAATTTCGTCATTACAACCATAGTTCGTTGATTTGACATTTCCCAAAACGATTCTTCCAATAAACGTTCGCAAAAGTATTTCTCAATTTAGTTCTAATTTCCAGCAAACGAATAAATTAAACATAAAAACTAAGTGTGGTTAAAAAAAAAAAAGTTATTTCCAGATACAAGTGCTATGCCCCATATGGTCTAAAACCTCACAGGTAGGCAAATCTAAGACTGTTTTTAATAAAAAAAAAATATTAATATGCATATAATAAATACTACTTCTAATAATAATTACATTATACAAAAGCAAATTGTCCTGAATAAAAAAAAAAAAATTCTATTTGCACTCTATTTTTTATAACCTTACCTTTTGCAAATTAATGTTTACACTTATGCAGGTACGCCCTGCAAAATTGCGCATGCTGGGACATTTGTATAGTGTATTTCCTTCTGCGTGCAATAGTGCTACTGTGCTGTCATGAAAACGCTGGTAAACTGACACATCTCAAGTCGTTCAGTGTTAATAAGATGTGCTTCTGGAGCACAAAACCAGTGATGCGTGTCAATTTTTGGAAGCTGGGAGATTTATAGCCTACATCATATTAACTCTGAATAAATTAGCTTTCCATTGATCTATGGTTTGTTAGTGTGGACTATTGTTGGATGATCTTTAATCTGAGGGTTCAAAAAAAGGATCACTTTCATCTTTGATTTTGTTGCATGTGTTTATGATTCTGTTTTCACCTACAGAATCATGCCAATCATTCAAAGTAAATATATTTGATAATATTTTACAGACTTATTCTCATTAGTCGCTTATAAGCATCTCAATAGTATGCATGCTAATTAGTACTTACTGTATAAAGCCTATTTTTAGTATAATCTTATTGTACATTTGTAATCCTACCCAATACTTAAACTACCTTAATAATTATTTATAAGGAGCAAATTAGGAGTTGATTGAAGCAAAAGTCAAAATGGTTTGCTGAGAGTGAGAATTGAACCTTGAATTAAAGTGTGACCAAAAATTCCAAGTATAAATATAAATAAAGTACACTCGCCGGCCACTTTATTAAGTACACCTTACTAGTATAGCGTTGGACCCTTTTTTGCTTTCAGAACTGCCTTAATCCTTAGTGGCATTGATTCGACAAGGTACTGTAAATATTTCTCAGAGATTCTGGCCAATTTGACATGATGGCGTCATGCGGTTGCTGCAGATTTGTTGGCTGCACATCCTTGATGTGAATCTCCCGTTCCACCACATCCCAAAAGTGATTAGTCAATTAGATTAAGATCAGGGCCCGGTTTTTCAAAAGGTTTAATCCGGATCAAATTGATCCAGATTTAGTAATTCTGTTTTTGCGATCCGTGATCAGGTAATCCAGCTTACTTTTTGAGCCAGTTTTTCAAAGCAACATTGGATTGGATCAATCTGATCTGGATAGGAACTTTTCAGGATCACTAAATCTGGATTACCAGTGCTCAAACAGGATAGGAAATCACAATGTAGAACTATAGATATGTAAAGAGCGACAAGTAGAATAGCCAGCGTGGGGTCAATATAATTTTTTTTTTTTAATGAAAACTAAGAAAATGTAATAAATATTAAATTAATAAAAATAATAAATAAGAAAAACAAGAAAAAGCCCACCCCATCCTTTTCCAGCAGTCCGCTCATCTGAGACCTACAACACAAACACTGTACATTGAGGATATTTATAATAAGTTTCAAATATAGATGTAATTTAAAAAAATACTTAATGTCAAAAACTCCACAATAATCTCAGACTTCCTCATCTGATGTGAAGCGTATCCTTTAGGAAGGGGGATCTCAAGTCTGGCCTTGGATTGCTGCAGTTCGGTT